ATTCATTTCAGACAAAGGAAGGGATTAGAAGAGAAAGATACGAACATCAATGATGAGACAATCACTGATTGGCAGCCTCCTGTAACCCTCCTACTGGGGATACAGCCCCCAACAGGGCATGGGACCTGACATGGAATTAAACTGGGTCCCCCTGGTTCATGGTTGATGCTCCAACATCGGGCCACACCGACCGGACAGACCTTTCTAACTGGACAGCACAGGGCGCTAGGGAACCTGGCTCAGGCCTGTGCATGGAGCCCTGGCACAGCCTCCTCCACTGAGCCCTGTGCTGCTCAGCAGGGAGACACCCCTGAGGCCCAGGAGGAAGGAAGTGGATTTGCATGAGGCCCCGCCCACCCAGGGGTGAGGAGCCTTGAAGACCACACCCCAGCTGAGGGCTCAGAGCAGAGCCTGGCAGCCTCACCATGGCCTGGACCCTCCTGCTCCCCCTCCTCACACTCTGCACAGGTGCTGCCCCCAGGCTCAGGCCCAGAAACCAGGGAGCAGCCTGGCCATGACCTTCAGCTCAGCCCAGGGGACGCTGCGGGGTGTGGGCCTCTGGGGCTGAGAGCCTCATGCCCACTCTCCTCTCCTCTCCTCTCCTCCTTCCAGGTCCTGTGGCCTCTTCAGAACTGACTCAGCCCACAGAAGTGTCTGTGGCCCTGGGACAGATGGCCAGGATCACCTGCAAGGAAAATCTCAAAACAAAATATTATCCTGTATGGCTCCAGCAGAAGCCCAGCCAGGCCCCCATGCTGGTCATCTATGGTGACACAAACAGGACCTCAAAGATCCCTGAGCGATTCTCTACTTCATGGTCAGTGGACACGGACACCCTGATCATCAGCGGGGCCCAGGCCCAGGACGAGGCCGACTATTATTGTGCGGTGTGGGAGAAGAATGCTAAAGCTCACAGTGACACAGGCAGATGGGGAAGTGGGACAGAAACCTCCCTGTGTCACCCTCTCCTCCAGCCCCGAGGGCTGCAGACCAAGCCCTGAGCACGGCTGCCCGTCTGTGTCGAGCGAGAGCAGGGGCAGCTTCGGGCACCTGTGGACGATCCCACCTGGAGCCCTGTCAGCCATGGGTCATGTCCAGGAGCAGGAGGCCCATGAGGAGTGTGGGTGCATCAGGATGGCCCCCGGGAGGGGCCTGGACACCCTGAGCGGGAACGTCTGTAACAGCAGCCACATCAGCTCCACAGTGACCCCTCCATGTTCAATAGAAGCACAGTTTATAGGAACCTGGGCTCCCAGACACATTTATCACCCGTCAGTGTCCTGACGACAATGGGCCTTTTCATGTTTAAAATAACATTGCTAGTCCTCCATGGTGTGGCTCAGTGAATAGAGCGACAGCCTGCAGATGAGGAGTCCGGGTTTGATTCTGTGCAAAGTCACATGACCTGGTTGCAGGCTCAATCCCCTTAGGGGGCATACAATCAATGATTCTCTCCCATCAGTGATGTTTCTATC